CTACAATGAGACTCTGGAGCAGCAATATGACCTGGTCAAAAAGGAAACCACCTTCAGGTTGGACCGCGGGAATTCACTCAGTCGAGTCTGCTTCCTTTTATTCATGTTATGCAGTATGGAGACACCACATTCACCAACGACTCTACCCAATATTTCATGGGTAGCAGGAACGGAAAGTTCAAGTTGATCGGTTCCGACTATGCTCCTGGGTGAGTAACTGAGTATCCTGACATCTATTTCGATGATCTTCTGTGGTGTCTCGTCCTACCTTGCGGCATTGATAAGACCAATGAAGTTTATTGAATGAACGATGTGTCACAAGGAGCGATTGGCTAAACGTTTGGGTTCATTCTAGGTCCGAAGCGACCGTTGAGCATGTCTTCGGGGAGTTCTTTGGACGTCCGAAGCCGCAGGGCATGACGGTTGAAGAGGTAAGAACTCTTTTTCCCATTTGGATATGCTGAGGGAGGAGATTGTCACGAGATCATTGGTTGATCCTAGGAAGTCGCGAGGGAGAAGGAAAGGCTCCGCGCTATCAAGCAAGTTAGTAGCGTACCATCAAGGATGATTCCCATCCACATGAAGTAGATTCCATTCAGTCCTGGCTCACTGATCTGCTCGCATTCAGATACAGCGAGCTGAGGGAAGAAGAGGGGAAGCCGAGCAACTACAGAAGGCAGTTAGAAGTCGCTAAGGAACTCCTTCAGACCGTCGAGGAAAGCGTGAGTAGTCTATTCAGAGTAGAACAGTCGGGGTCCATCCATTGTGCTGACGACCGCTCGAAGGGACGATAGACGTTCTTCAGATTCGTGAGATTGAGGAAATGATGGATCGCAATGAGCATTTACGCCTGGAACGCGATTTAGCCCACAGCTAAAAGTAAGTCCAGCCCTTGCTTTGGAGGATGTGGAGACCCATCGCTTCGATTGGCAGGAGTTCATGCTCATCAATGTAGTTGATAATGGAGAATATAGTTTTTAATACCAAGCCTACTCCAATGGTATCGGTAGTTACTTCAGCTATCGTATGTTTTTGTAATTTCTCCGGAGTGCCACTGGCAGTATACCAGTGCAAAGATCGCATGGCTTGGCCATCCCAAATTCTTCTCGAATCTATCACGGTTAACAAGAGTTTGCTACTAGCAGTTTCAATTGTGTACTTTGTTGTGTTTCGCACTAAAAAAGTGCTGGCTGGATTATGGGCAGATTGGAACGTGCATCGCGATTCATCTGTTCAACGAGGAGCCGGGACTGTGACTCAACTCTCAACCTCGAATCAACCCCGAGTGGTTTCGAGACCAGATCGATACTGCCTTGACAGCTGGCACTGTCAGGTCAAAATCAAGCCCACTCCTGAGACATCCAGATACACAACACTTATATTCAACTAAGCCATCTTACGTGCGATGAATGAGTGCCGCTCAACTAGTTCTCTTCCTCTGTTTATTTTCAGAGGCGTATGCCAAGCTCGTCTGACGAAAGTTCCGCGAGTGCTCCTCCAACGCACGTCGCGTTTGCCC